GAACATTGATCATACAAATGTATGTGACAGAAAATCAGCATATATCTTAACAACAGCCATCCAAACAATTGGTGGTGGTGATATATTAAAACTACCAATATCTCATAGTAGCATTAGAAGAAGCCGAAAGAAGCATCGCTTTCAACATTATGCTATTGTTAAGGCAGTCTTTAGTTCGGAAGGTATTTTAGTTATTCATATCGATAGAAAACTTTTGCCAGCAATTTCAGGTGGGTCCAAAAAAGTTGATTGTCAGGCAATTCTAGTTTTAGGATTAGGAACAGAAAAACTTTTGGCAATTCATAAAGTGGCCTAAGGGACTGGTGAAATTATAGCAAATGCAACAATGGTTGCCATTTCTGATTGGAAATTTGCACCAATTATTGTTTAAATGAAGAACTTAAAGAATTGAAGAGAAAGGTAGTTGATTTTATTTTATGAGTGTTGAATGGAAAGACAGGAAATTTATCCTGAGAAGATTGTCATTAATTTTTGGAACTTACTTTGATCTTTCTTGGAGATATTCCACCTTGAGGTACATAATTCCTAGTTCCTGTTGCTTTTCACCACACGAGGTAGATGTCTAAAATAATTTATGTTTTGAAGATTTTCTTATTTCAAACTCAATTTAAGCTCACCAAACATAAAAGTTCAAGGTGCTTGGAATTTGGTTTGTTTGTTGCTCTTATCTATATAAAAGCATAGATAACCTGCTCATACTCATGCGATGCTCCATTCAAAGATTTAAATCTCATAAAAGCATTAGCAAAGTACAGCTCAACGTCAAAAGCAACAACTGCGTTGAAAGCAATGGGTCACCCCTTGGTCTGTTTTCTGATCTGGTGCCTGTTAAGACGAAAAACTTATGGTAGCAAAATTGCAAGATCAGATTGCAGACAATTAAGATTTGGATTTTTGATCAATCAGAACTGGAACTGAAGATCTGAGTGCAAAACCTCTGGAGTACTTCATTGGACCATCTTCACGTTTCTTTTTTGATACCTTACAGTTAGACATGTCCTTTTTAAAGTAGGATGTTGAGAAATGGTCAAATATTCCAAATTATCAGGCCACAAAGAAAAGCGTTAAGGCAACTAACTAAAGGTTGTTGATGATAGATATTAATTTACTGTAAAGATATAAAATATGTTGCATATTTTTTATGTTAATAAAAAAATTTTAATTTTTTGGAATATTATTAAAAATTACTAAAAATGCTGAAATTTCTAGGTCGATGAGGCAGTTCTAAATATTGACTGATGTTCTTCAAATTTTTTGTGGTGTATTTGCGAAGCAAAAAGAACATAAAAATGCAAGTGCCTCTAAAATATGAAATCATTTTATTTTCTGAATCACCCTACTCGGCTTCTTATGCTGAGATGTAAACATGCATTTCAAAAAACCTCCCAAACTTTCAAAAATGTTTTTAAACTATTCAAAAGTAGTTCTACAAGTATGAAAACATGAGTGAATCAAACAAACATTTCAGTTTGTGTCATTGGGGAATAAAGGAATAACAAAGTTTAATTTTTATAGTTTGATTAGTTTTTTTTGCATCCAAAAGATGTATTTTTCAGCGTGTGTTGACAACTTGTAAAGACAAATAAATAGTTTAACATGCCTGTTGGGGATCAGAATAGGTCTGGGTGATTGCATTTCACATGTGAATATTATAAGCAGAATTGTGTTTGCCTTTTTCAAGTTTTTTTTTTCGTCTCAACTCCAACTCCTATGGTAAATGATAAATCGGCTCTGGCTCGACTCTACAAGCCTGATTATAATAGAGCTTATGATGTGTCAGTTGATGAAAGAACCTTCGAAAGTACTTGGACAAAGCACATCAAGTTAGGTTTCTTCAAGAAATTTTTTACTGCTCTTGACAAGGAGTCTGCACCTTACCTCAAGGTACCTCCAATTACCTCTACGATATTTATCAGAAGCTGTACAAAGCTAAGATTAGAGCTATAATTTTTTTTTAAACAATGGATTAAAAAGATTGTAGAATAAAATAAGGTTGCCAAGCTGTTTAATAGGGCAGAGAAAGTTGCTTCCTGGGTGATTAGAAGGCTGAAAACTATGTGGAGTTGGTTCAGATTCTCATAAAAAGTTCAAAAGTTGGGTTCAGAATGTCATTTTAAGTCCATATTTTTTGTTTATCTCAATAAATTTAAAGAGAACATTGGAGCTTACTCAGAGGAGCAAGGCAAACACTTTCATTAAGGTATATGCGGTAGTGGTGTAGTGGTAGAGCGCTCGCTTCATAAACGAGTGGTTCCGAATTCGATCCCCACCACGTCCCTGGTAGTACCGCGCTCAACTCATTTCTCCGCGCAGCGGCCTTGTTCGTCAAGGTTCGTGTTTCGGAGTTATAGAGTTGAGAGAGGGTTATAGCCACAAAATAAGTAGCCTCCTTGTTTGTAGCGGCCTTCTCGGCCTTGAGGAGGTGAAGTAAAATAAAAAAAAAAAAAAAAAAAAAAAAAAATATATAACGCTTTAAACGTTGTTATTAAATGGCTTCTTTATAATAAATCTAGAAATTCTAGAGAAAAAAATTTTCATCGCATGGTAGTAGCGTATTTTAAATAATGCCTATTGCACATAGTTTTAATGGTTTTAAGGAAATGAAATATTAAACTATTTCAGTAATTTGCAGCCCTGTCAATTTGTTAAAAAAAAAAAACTTATTTAAAAAAAAAAATTAGAATTGTAGTTTACAATTAAATACAAAACACAACTACAAATATTATTTTTTATTTAATGTTTTATATTTGCTATAGCCAGTTAACTAAACTAATGATATTTTGTTAGTTGTTCAAAAATGTTTGTCACAAACATAAAAAAACAAAAATGAATGTTTACATTAGGGCCCTGCTAATCACCTTTTTTGGAATCGAATCAGGCGTTGATTCGCAAATCGCGTTGAATCTTGAAACAAATCAGTTTTTTGAGGATATCTATATTTTAGTTAAACTTAGATTTCCTCAAAATGGTAATTGGACTCATGATTCAATTCGATTTGCAAATCAAGAATTGCTTAGAATTGTGATTCGATTCGAAACTAAAAAGTGTGATTCACAGGGCCTTAGTTTAAATTTATTTTCCTTCTATAAAGTATTATGATTTGGCTTTTTTTTTTTTTTTTTTGCTGCTACATTGCTACAGATACTCTATAACTAGTTTCTATAGCAACTAGTATATATACTAAGATTCTTTCATATAAATTAAATGAAATGCATTTCAAAAGAATTTTATATCAAATATAAATTTTTTAAGCCAGAATGTAAACTGAAGAAACTCATCCCAAACAATTAAAAATATTATTTCTTATCAACTTCTCCATTAAATTCTCTCTACAAAGAAATTGATGGTGCTGATTGATGATGATGATGATAGATTGATGATGGTGCTGATAGATTCACACATTTAAGTATTACTAAAATAATATGCAGAACGTTTTGATCTGCAAGTTACTCTATATGTTAAATTAATATTATATTTACTTTTTATTTAAACATCTACTTTTTGTTTTTGTTTTTTATATAACAGAAAATGTATGATGCTGTTATTATACCTGGTGGCCTTGGTGGTGCAAAGAAGCTCTCTGAGGTTTGCTTGTTTTTAATATGTTTTACAAATAAAAATTGTGAGTAGAAATTTCTTTGAAGAATGTTTAAGTTGAAATTTTTCAAAGTCTGAAACTTTATTTTTATAAATGATTGCCTTTTTGTGAAATTAAATACTTGTGTAATTTTGTTTTTTAAATGCTCTAACAGTGGTGTACACTGGATTTTTAGATGTTTGAGTTTTGACCTTTGCAGGCATTGTGCAAACTCCAAACTTTTGTATGTTCATGCTCATGTCAAATGAAAATGTTTTGCAAAGAGTTGTGGTAATTGGAGCTTAGGGGAAAAAAAAAACAATTTTTGGGCCTACCCAGTCCTTAACGAGGGAGCAACAAGTTTATAAAATAATTTCTTTAGTATTTTTATCTTTTATATTCATCAACAAATTTCAAATTTCATGTAATAATCTTTTATATTTCGAAAATTATGACCATATAAAGTTTAAACACCCCTCAACTTGAGGGGGCTGTAAATTTTGTAGGGTCATAAAATCTAAACACTGAGAGGTTATTGCATGAAATTTGAATTTTTTTGATGAATATAAACTTAGATAAAAATACTAAAGAAATTTATAAACTTGTTGCTCCCGCGTTAAGGGCTGGGTGGGCCCCAAAATTGAGGGTTTTTTTGTCTCCAAGCTCCAATCACCACAACTCTTTGCAAAACATTCTTATTTGACATAAGCATGAACATACAAAAGTTTGGAATTTGCACAATGCCTGTAAGTGTCAAAACTCAAACATCTGAAAATCCAGTGTACACCACTGTCTAATCAGCAAAATCAAATACTAAGTGCCTAAAATATAGAAGAATGGAAATAGTTAGTTTGTAAAAATATGAAGTAAAGAATTATTTAACACCATATTTAAAATGTTTATTTTATTTCTAAGTCTTATTTTCGGATACTGATAAAAATAGTAATAACAATGTCAAAGAAGATAAAGAGAAAGAAGCGTTCATTCGCAGCGTTTGGTTACACAAAAAATGTTATACACAGAGAAGAAATGAATGCAATCTGATTGCCATTAGAAGCTGTCAAAACTAGCGTTGAATGTGAACGTTGCAAAAAGATCGAAACTAAGAAACAAAAGGAAGCATAAGAAAGAAATGGAACCATTATTATCACAGAAATGGCATGCGACATACAGAGAAAAGCCAGAATCAGAACAGGTTCTAAAGATCCCAGCTATGACAAAAAATGGAGACAGTACCAACCTGGACAAAGGCTCAACATTGACCAGAGCCAAGAAGAAAACTTACGAGTAAGTTCCCAAGGGTCAAGGTGCAACACATAGTACAAACATATTCACGTTTACTTCCAACAAAATGCTTGGTTAGACCAAAACGTTTGTAAGCACTGGTGTGATAAAACACTCCTTCCATTTGTCAGAGAACAAAAGCTTGATAAATTTTTTTTTTTCGCTGGACAATTTAAAGGGGACAGATGCAGGAGGATTTTAAAGATGTTGTGGCTTCTCTGGTATGGTCTACCAAGTGCCACTGACCTTTGGCAACCAGTTGATACAGGATATGCTGCCACTATGAAAAGGCTTATTGCCATGAGATGAATTTTGATTACACATTGGGCAGGGGAAGCATGGAAAGCTTTAAACACTTCTTAGTATGACAAGCAAAAGAAGAAATGTTGAACGATGACTGGATGTTTAATGACTTCTGATATCTCAGAAGATTCGCTTGTTAAACCAGAGGGCCTTGATAGTCACAAAGTGCTCCATCATTGATCCTGGCTGTGATCAACCCAAGGGAAATCAAAGTGATATTCAACCGGTGGAGGTAGATGATGCTATAAATAAATATACCAATGAAATTCTTCCAGATGACACCTTTATGTGTCCGGACGAAAAGGAATGCAAAGTTCATATCTTTGATTTCATTGATAACATATGTATATATTTTTTTTTTTATTATACTGTACAAAAGTCAACTTTTTATTTTTCTTATAACCATTAACCTTTAGTAACGCACACTCTTTTAGAAAGTATTGAAATAAGCATAGTTTAATAAAAATATGCTTAAGTTTAAGTAATTTTTTGAGCCTCTTTTAACTTTTTGCTTAAGCAATCCCAAGCCTGTTTCAAAAATTTCATATGCTTATTAAAAAAAAAAACATGTATTAGGAATCCATTAAATATTAAAGGGTCTTGGGGGACCCTTAGAATTTTTTTTATTCAAAAAAAACTAGTGTTTTTGTATTAGATAGAATACATTTAGGGGGGTGGGAGCAGGTTCTTCTTAAAAATGTTATTTTAAGAGCCAACCTTATATATATATATATATATATATATATATATATATATATATATATATATATATATATATATATATATATATATATATATATATATATATATATATATATATATATATATATATATATATGTTAAGGTGGCTCTTAAAATAACTTTTTTGCAAAAAACCTGCTCCCACCCCTTATATGTGTTCTATCTAATACAAAAACTAAGTTTTATAAGTAAGTGTATCTCTGGGACTATCCCTTGATGTGTATAAGGAAGTATTCACAAGAAGCTCACAAGAAAGAGAATTATTTAAAAGTTGACCAATTTTTATTGTAATTTTTGGATATTTTGATGACAATTTAATAAATTGTTCATTTATTTAATTTATTCAATAATTTTTACGCCGTTTTGATGTTATTTGATGAGAAAGTTTTGATGTTATTTGATGAGAAAGTTTTGATGTTATTTGATGAGAAAGTTGATCATTTTTTCCATCTTAAAGAATGCCATCAGTGTAGAGTTGTTTTGTTAAAATAGGTTCAGAGCTAATACTTTATTTGCTGTTTCATGACTTCCATTATTTACTAATTATAATGCAAAAAAAAATCTTCACTTTATATCTTCAACTGCAGCGACTTCTCAAATTGCACATGTCTTTAGTCTCTGAGATTTTGTCTCTTATTTTCCTAATATGCGCATATTGGAAAAACGATGTAGTGCAAAGCAAGATGCAGTTAGTGTTGTGAAAACAAAATTACTCAAAAATCAAAAATGCTGTAAAGCAATCAACTTGTGAAATTAGTTGCTATTGGTTGCATTGCAATCATTTTCGTTTTTTGTGCTTTTTTGGATGGTGGATTATTTAATCTTGTATTCTCAGAGTTAGTCCTCGATATCAAGCTAGAAGATTTAAAAATATATTCAACAGAGAATATAGATCAATTAGTATCATTAAAGCAGTTGTGCCTGTCAAATTTGTGTTAATCTGGGCATAACTACGGATTTTTCTAAAAAGAAATAAATAGCAGGAGAAAAATTATGTGATGCTGCATTTTCAATTTTTTTTTTTTTTTCCAGTCTACGGTTGTGAAAAATATCCTCGAAAAACATTTTAAACACGAGAAATTAATAGCTGCCATTTGTGCCGGTAGGTTTTTTTGTTGTTAATTACAAAACGAAATTTCAAGTTTTATTAAAGAAAGTATTATGTATAATTTTGCTCCCGTTTCAGGACCCACCGTTTTAGATGCACACAATGTAGGGAAAGGAAAAAAAGTAACTTCATACCCATCGTTAAAAGACAAGATGAAGGGTGAGAACAAATTTCTTTTTAATAAAGTATCATTTTTATAATGAAAATCTGATTATTTATTTTTTATTTTTTTGACAGATTATACTTATGTGGCAGAAAAGGTTGTTACAGATGGTAATCTGGTGACTAGTCAAGGACCGGGAACTAGTTTTAATTTTTCTCTTGAAATTGTGAAAATATTGGTTGGCTCAGATATTGCCGAAGAAGTTTCAACAGGAATGCTTCTGTAATACTCTTTTCGAGCTTTTTCTTATATATTTATATTTATCCTATATATTGCTTTAATAATAAAAGAAAAGTAGTCTTATTTTAGTTTTTTTCCATTAACTTGCTATTTTTCTCCATCAACTTCCTATTTTTCTCCATTACCTTCCTATTTGTCTTTGCCATCTTAATAATTGTATATTCTACGCAGTTAAGCATGTCGATTAGAAGTTTTTCTTATAAATAATAATTCATACACTTAATTATTGTAATGTAACAATGAATAAAACGCGACTTACTATAAAAGAACGTTTTTTAGAATCAAAACATGTGAGTGTTAAATTGACTGACAAATTTATATAAATATAAGCTCCTTGGTGTTAAAAATATGCTTACTTCTAGGAATAGAGCCAAATTCAAACTTTTTTCTGCTTACGTGTACAATGAGAATGTTTTGTAAAAATTGAAGCTAAATACTGAAAAGAAAAAAAACAAGCTAAGATTCACTTCCTGTTGAGGTTTTAGGTTGTGCTTTTTAAATTTAAATGCTTTTTATTTCAATATCTGAAATAGATCGAACTTTGTAAATTTTTTTTAAAAAAAGTTAAAAAGTTTTTAACTTCTCTTCTTATCAAGTTTTTTTAGCTTATTCTGAATCTGTTAGACATTTTGGTCTGTGTCCAATTTCACCTAAAAGGTACTTAGGCTGAAATGTAACTTTACTAAATTATGAAATATTAAAATAATAGAGTTAAAAGTTAATTATTGAAAAAAATAAAATCTCAATTTGTAAATTTTATAGAAAGAGTTAAGGTAAACTTAAACATTTCGATATTGTCAAATTTGTAAAATGTCAATTATTTGAACCTATAAAAAATCAATATTTATATAAAAGCATTACTTCGGTCTATGATTTAGAATGATTGAAATGTTTCTTTCTGAAGTATTCGCACATACCTAAGTCTATGATTTAGAACGATTGAAATGTTTCTTTCTGAAGTATTCATACATACGTAAGTCTTTGATTTAGAACGATTAAAATGTTTCTTTCTGAAGTATTCATACATATGTAAGTCTATGATTTAGAACGATTGAAATGTTTCTTTCTGAAGTATTCATACATACGTAAGTCTAAAATATTTAATAAGTCTGGGAAGAGTTAATTTGCTACTTTCATCTTCGTTTTGTTTTATTACATCTTGTTTTAAAGGAAAAAAACGAAAAAGTTTATGGTTCATTTTGTCTGTTTATTTTCGCTTTTATATAAATTTTAACATTCTTGATAAAAAACAAAAGGGCTTCTAATCAGAAACCTTACTTGAGCCTAAAAGGATAAAATATATTAATAGGTAGCCTACGGACATTTGTCTATGAATGACAATTCAAACCATGTCATTTTTGAAGTTAAGATTTTTAACTTTTTGATGCTACTAATTATTCTCGCTAACTCAATAACTCAAACTGTTGTTGTAACTTTTATAGTGACTGTCATTGTAACTGTCCTCTAATCGACAAATTCAAATAACTCCTAAAACAAAAATAAGTAACAACAATAAAGAAAGACTTGGAACACATTTCATATTTTTCAATGTTCATTATAAAACAGTCTCTAGCGTTTATCCTGCAATTATAGTTATTTATTTTATAGAATAAACAATATCCAATTGTAGAACATTTTGTAAAGTCCTAATGGAAAAATCTTTAAGAACCATTTTCTGTAAAAATCAGACAATTTTCAAGAAAAAAAATACTGATTGTCACCGATTTTGTTCTTTATCGCATATTTGCTTTGTATAATAAATGCAATTACAAATACAAAATATTTTGGTCTAAATATTTGTCGTTCGGTCAGGGTGATACTTTGAAATTCGGACAAATTTTAGTTAATTTGCTTATTTTTCATTATGTCGCACTTTAAAGAAGCAACAACTAGAACATTTTAATGTGTTTTATCAACTTATTTATAACAGACAGACACGTTTAACTAGAAAAATAAAAGTTGATCATTGTCTAGAAATCATAGCCTGAAAGTACAATAATTGTAAAAAAGTACGAACTTTAAGAAGCCGTTACTGTTAAAGCCATCATAGCCACGTGGACTTTTTTACACCAGATGATAGCTGTGTATCTAATTTTCCATTAAAAAAATAAAAATGGGCAGGATTGAATTGGCATCTCACAATATAAGTGAAAATCACGTTTTTGAAAAACTTTTTCCAGCTTTAGACTGCTATAAAAACTAAAGCCAAAAGACTTGAAAAAAAATTATAAATAGAAATATGTTAACCCTTTCGTGCCGGGATTTATTTAGGCGATTTAAAGAGCGCAATACTATGTCACGAAAACACTTAAATACACGGGTTTCCTTACAAAATAAGTTAAACAAAGTATATATCCTTGGAAAGCAATAAAAATAAGAAAGTAAAAAATTTTAATCTATGACGTCTACATTATTTCAAATTGATAAAAAAGCTTTGCGAATTTTAAATAGTTGCGAATTAAGCCTTTCAAATAGCTAGCTATATTGTTTAAAAAGTAAATAAAGGCTTGTGAAACGGTGCAAAATTTATTCAGCTTTTATTTGATGGGTCACTTTTCTAATTTAGATAATTAGAAATTAAATAATTAACATTTTTCTCTGGTGACGCCATTTTTTTTTTTTTTTTTTTTTTTTTTTTTTTTTTTTTTGCCTAATTTTGTTATTCAATAAAAATATTAAAAATACCTATAAGGAAAAGTAGCTAATTTGATGGGATACTTTCCTTATTTAGATAAGTAAAAAATAATAAACCCACCCTTTGTGTAAAGCAAATACAAGTTTTTTCAGCTATTTTATTTATTATATTTTGTCAACAAAAGAGAATGTATAGATACATAATTTTAAAAATAAAACTATGAATGCCACATATTCCAACAATTAGAGACTGAATCAAGGCATAAATGGACATTGCAAAATGAACAAAAAACACAGATGGTATCCTTGTTTTAAAACATGTTGCGTTAGTTGACAGACAACAGTTCCTGCAAGATGATGGTGCTTTAGTCCAATATCTTTTCCAGTGTAAATCAAGAACTCTGATATGCACCCAGTAGATGGCTCTGCCATTACCCAAGCTTTTATTCCAAATCATGTACGTTTGCTTGGAATTAATTGTCGGAAAGAGATTCTTCCTTTAAAAGGTATCATACTCTCATCAATGCAAATGTCTCTTTTTGGTTTATAAAGTTTTCTTAACTTAGGACAAAGGTCATCTAGCAACATACGTACCTTGAAGAGTTTGTCGTATCCTTCATTACCCCTTGGTATTGCTGCTGTCTCATTGCAAAAATGAAGATAACGGTGAATTTTTCTAAATTGATCACGAAACATTACTTTACTAAAAGATGGAATAGCAAAAAACCAAAGTTCTTGTCTCCAGTAATCATGGATGCATGAAAGTTTTATTATTCCCATGGCTAAACAAATTGCTATAAATACTTTGATATCATTTGACGTAACATCAACCCATACCATTCTATGCTTTATAGGAGAAGATTGTAACCTTCTTGAATGGTAGTTATTTGTTTCAGTGACAAGTTTTTGTATTAAAGCACTATCAAAGAACACTTCAAAGAGATGGATTGGTTTGATATTTCCATCGCAATTAGGTATTGCAGATCTTCTAAATGTTGGTCCTGGTGTTGCCATAAATGGAATAGTAGTTCTAATAATTTTATTTTTTTTCCATTCTCTATTATCTTTACTAATAGTAGGCTTCTTGGTCTTAATGGTATGAAGTCGTTTACTAGTTGATTCTTTACAGATTTTTTATTTATTATTTACAGGATCATTGCTATCAGCAAATGCTATTGCAAAGAGTCCTTTATTATCATTAGTTACTAAATTATTAATAGAAAAGGCGACATCTATATTTCTGTTAAATCATCTTCGGAACTAACATATTCTTCAGATGATGAAGATGAAATTATTTCTAATGATGATGACTGACTTGGTGATAATGTCATAGTCAATGGAGTTGTTGAGAAAATATCAGGCATCAGTTCTTGGAATTCGTTGTCATCAGACTCTGAAGACTCAAAAGACAAATCACTAACATCGTCTTTTTTATCAAGGATTTGAAGAAATTCATTTGGATCATTTATAATCCTATTTCTCAAAGCCATCTTGGCTGAAACTACATATATTTTTTGTCAATTATCTTCAATGTTTTGTACATAAAAACAATACGTAAATTAAAAATTCCAAATCTCCTAAGCTAAATTTATATGTGTACAAGCACAAAAGATTAATATTTAAGACTAAAAGGCTTGAACTATAACTTTTAGAGAGGTTTTTTGATTGGTATATCCAAGGCGCACATATGTGCGCCTTCGGTACGAAAGGGTTAACTTACTCTTTAAAAAAATCATTTTGAAAAAAGATAACAATTTGATACTTTTCATAATATTTACAATTACATTTCATAATCATTCATTTATTAAATAGAAAGTTTAGTTTAATTATTATTATTATTATTATTATTATTATTATTATTATTATTATTCAGTGATCAAAAAACAAAAAACAAATACAATAAATCTGTTTAAAGTTTGATGAAGAGGTGCTACACCAGGCCCCTCTATGCTGACGAAAATAAAAAAACACAGAAGCTACAGACAAAGCACCAATTGTGTTTCTAAAAGTTACTTTGTTACACTGTTTTTGAAAGCATGGATAGATGGAGCGTTCACTACTGCTTGGAAAAGCGCATTCCATGGGAATGTACAAGCTGGCGTTCTAGTTTTTGATTATGCCCTCGCAAAATATACTTGGCTTTACTGTTTGAAAGTTTTTGTGGAACGAAAAAACTGACAAGTTCGAGTTGACGCGTGATTTTAAATTGTTCGATTAGGTCTGCTTTTTTACGGCGTTCTTTAAGTGTTGTTAGATCGAGCTGTTGGAGTCAATTTTTATAGGACAGGTGTTTAATAAATGATATTGTTGAAAACAAAATGATCTCTTACTTATATTTTTTAAATAAGTTTTGCGATACGTATTTTATAAACGATCCCTCACCAAGGACGTTGTTGACATGTCGCGTTCTGGGGGACAATTGAAGCTCA